CTGCACACCCGGCTAAGAGTCGTGACCAGACCCCTGCCCCCTTGTGCCCGTTTGCTGATCAGCCCCAAGCGTGCAGCACCGAACCGTGCTGCCGACGTCTCTGCATGGCACCCAGCCCGTTCTCATCTGAAGTGGGATCAGCTACGAGGGCGACTCAAGAGCCAAATCACCTTGCAGCCCATCATCATTTCAGGCTTACAGGAACCACTCGCTCCGTCCCTGCCTTTCAGAGAGCTGTTCCATCCGTAGATGGCGGGTGTCAAATATTCATGAGCACATTGCCCGAGGGAACAGCCAGCCAACGAGCCCTGGCTTATTGCTCTTTTGGCCCACGCTGCACCTACCTCCTTCTCTGCCCCGGAGCAGGAAACCCTCCCAAGCCCACTCAGAATCCTCTCTGCACCTCCGCAGCCCGCCTGAGGAAATCCCTTTTTTTCTGGGCTCTGATAATACCCTGAATTACCTAACACACTACATCTGACCAACATTTGTAAGATGCAATAAAATAATGCTTGGAGGGAGATTTACAACATTAAAACCTTATATTAAAAAGAGTCCTGGGTGTCAACATTGTGGCATAGCAGGTTAAGCCACCACCTGCAGTGCCATATGGGCACGGTTCATGTCCCAGCTGCTCCATTTCCTATGCAGCTCCCTGCTAATGGCCTGGGAAAGCAGTGGAAGACGGCCCAAGTCCTTGGGCCCTGAACCCACAAGGGAGACCCAGAGGAAGCTCCTGGCTCCTGGCTTCGGATTGGCTGAGCTCCGGCCATTGCGGCCATTTGAGAAGTGAACCAACAGATGGAAGACCTCTCTCTCTCTGGCTCTACCTCTCTCTGTAACACTGTCTTTAACTTACAGAGATTTCATGGTCTCTGGAAAAAAAAAAAAAAAAAAACTAGGGGGGGCCGGCATTGTGCAGCGAGTTAAGCTGCTACCTGTGTTGCCAGCATCCCCTAGGGCTGCTCTGCTTCCAATCCAGCTCCCTGCTAATGAGCTGGGAGGCACCAAGAGAGGGCCCCAGTGCTTGGACCCCTGCACCCATATGGGGGCCCCAGATGAAGCTCCTGGCGCCTGGCTTCAGCCTGGCCCAGAGCTGGCTGTTGAGGGCATTTGGGGAGTGAATCAGCAGATGGAAGATCTCTCTCCCTCTCTCCTTCTCTCCCTCTCTCCCTCTCTCTCTGTAACTCTGCCTTTCAAATAAATAGATATTTTTCTGCAGAGAGACTCTCTGTTCCGTTAACGTGAGGATCTTCTCTTGTATTCAGGACAAGGCTCTGAATCCCCGGATGCCCAGCACTGCCTAGCTCAACAGCAATGAGGAAGAGAGGGGGCTGTGCTTGATGGAGGCCAAAGCCGGCACAGCGCGTGCAGGGAGCGGGGCCACTGTATGGCTCCTCCAGCCCACCCCCCTGTTCTCAGAAGCCCTCACAGCTCTGTGTCCTCTGGTCGCTTTTATCAGAAGATTCTAGAAAGCTGCCCTCCACATCCTACTCCTTGGGCTTTTAGTTGCCGTCACAGCTGCATGGTGCCTCCTCCTCCCGCTGTGTCCTGCCCTGTGACGTCGTGGTCCCTCGGGTGGGCAGCTGGCTGGGACTTCAGCATCCCAGGGACCGACTCAGCCGTCAGCAGACCATGCCCCAGTAAGCGTGTGTGGGTGGGGTGAATTACAAGCGACTTTCTGTGGCCCAAGATGACGTCACGCTCTCACGCGTTTTCATCACAAACCAAGCGGCCAAGCTAATGGGAGAGGCATCTGCTCCGGAGTGCGCTTCCTCCACACCTGGTCCTCCGGGCTCCTCTGGGACGGAGCACTTAGAAGAAGACGGAAAAGATTCTCTTCGCTGCCCAACCAGGCCTAAAACTCTGACCGAATGATCTGAAAGGCACAAGCTCCAGGGAAAACGCTGGATCCGACTGTGCTTGGAGCAGCCAGCGTGAAATGCGATGCGATTCAGAACAGACAGCAGCCGCACGCTGCAGAGGGAAGTCATTAACGCCCATGAGTAATGACAGAGCAAGATACCATCTGCCGGGGCAATGCGGCACATCTTCTTAAAATTCCGATTCGCCCGTAAGCCAGACACGGGGAGCGGCGACGTCGCTCCAGCTGTGGCCCGTGCTGCCTCCATCGCTTCGTATGGAAACGAAGACGTGGGTGATGGAAAACCACGCAGGATGCATTTTGGAGCTGACGTGCCTTGTTCTGCAGGACACGGCTGCTCTTTACGTAACCGCGTGGACCCGTGAGCGATAATCCGCTCACCCAGGGCACGCAGGGATTTTCCCTACATTGTGGGGCTGAGAAGATCATGTCTGGTAGAGGCAGAGTCTAAGGGTTTGGCTACAACAATGCAGCTGGATCGGATCCTCTTGGAGTCAGAGATGAGGAGGCAGCCCTGCCACTCAGCGACCCCAGGGAATCAGGCTCAGTTTATGATGGACTCGGATATTCTGAGCCACGGTCCCGAGCCACCTCTTAGGACGCACACAGCTGTTAGAGTTTGTAATGCCCCTCACTGGGACTGTTGTGAGAAGTTGTTCTGATTGCAAATGTGTAAGATCACTCATCGCTTGTGGATGTGTCCCAGAATCTCCTGTTTTCCCGTGGCATGTTGGGTAGACAGAGGGATTCACTTATCTGGAATTCTTTATAAGAGATTTATTTATTTGCTTGAAGGGTAGAGTGAGAGAGAGAGGGAGTACAGAGAGAGACAGAGACCTTCCATCCACTGGTTCACCTCCCAGATGCCCACAACAGCCAGGGCTGGGTCAGGCGGAAGCCAGGAGTCAGGAGCTCCATCCTGGTCTCCCACAGGGGTGGCTGGAGCCTAGGCACTTGAGCCGTCATCCACTGCCTTCCTAGGCGAGTTAGGGGGAAACTGGATGGGGCGTGGGGTAGCTGGGACTTGAACCAGCGCTCTGATCTGGGATGCAGGCATTGCAAGCGGCAGCTTAACCCACTGCACCACAACGCCACCCCACGTCCTAGCCCCTAACCCCAGTGCTGTCATGTCTCAGCTACACGACTTCCAGAAAAGCCCTTGATTTCCTATCCATCACATCCTCTCTGCCGTTGTCAAAATCCAAAAAAAAGGACCACAGTATCCAAAGAAGCCAGTGTCAAAGGATCTTCGAGAACTGTAAAACCCTTGTGGTCGTGGCAGGAGCAGGCAGAGCCTGAGGAAGCGGAACTGCACAGGTGAGGAGCTCCCGGGCCAGCGTGGCCCCCACCCCGCCCCACCCTGCCTAGGATCGTTGTCCCAGCAGCAGGACGACGGGTCCCAGTGGGCTGCCTCCTCCCTGCGGCTGGGCCGGAGCTGGAGCCAGGACCCAGCCTACAGCGGCACCCCTAAGCAGGTGTGCTGTGAGCTGCAGGCTATTTGAATTTGTGGAAGAGGGCACTGTCCTCCAATTATTGACAGCATGACCCATTCCTACTGCCCGTGAGCTGAAGACACGAGGAGTGGCAGCCTTGTTGAAAGACCCTAGCTGCTTGATGACCAAGCTTCAGGACCCAGAAGGCACCTGCTCCCGCACCTACCTCGTCGTATCCCCTCTGGCCCCATCTTGAAGACTGCGGCCCCCGAGGGAGGTGCGGTGGAGGAGGCTGGGAGACTGCAGGGGCTCCGGAGAGCCCGGGACTCCCATGGCCGAGAGCTTGCTGCGCGGTCCTGTCCGAGGAGCTGGGCAATGCATGTCCTCTGGCCACATAATTTCATTTGTGGGGTCCCAAACACTACAGTAAGTGCATGAGGATGGACATGCAATGATGTTTGTGAAGTCATCTTTTTAAAGATATATTTATTTGAAAGAGCTACAGAGAGAGGAGGAGGAGGGGGGGGGGTCTTCCATCCACCCACTGGTTCACTCCCCAAGTAGCCACAATGGCTGGGTATGAGCCAGACTGAAGCTAAGAACCAGGAGCTTCTTCAGGGTCTCCCACGCAGGTGCAGGGGCCCACGCACTTGGACCATCTTCCGCTGCCTTCCCAGGCACATTAGCAGTGGAGCAGCTGGGACTCGAACTGGTGCTGGTATGGGATGCCAGCGCCACAGGCAGCTGCCATATCCACTACACCACAATGCCGGCCCCAAGAAGTTATTTTAATAGGAAACGATCAAAAGCTACAATTCACTGTACAGGAACATGGTTGCATAATGGGTGGTAGATGTACACAACAGGATACTATGAAGCTGACGGAAGACGCTGGTTCGAGTCCCAGCTGCTCCACTTCTGATGCAGCTCTCTGCTGTGTCCTGGGAAAGCAGCAGAGGATGACCCAAGTGCCTGGGCCCCTGCACTCATGTGGGAGACCGGGAAGAAGCTTCTGGCTCCTGGCTTCGGCTTGGTACAGCCCCGGCTGTTGCAGCTTTTTGGGGAGTGAACCAGCAGATGGAAGATTCTCTCTCTAACTCTGCCTCTCAAATAAATAAAAAATAATTAAAAAAAAAAAAAAAGAGAGAAGCACACTGCAAAGTATTACAAGTGCCACCCAGAAAGGAAACAAAGACATGTGTGTACATGAGTGTGCAGAGGCAGAGAGAGGGGCTGGGAGGCGGGAAGAAGGCTCAGCAGTGGAGGGGCGGGGCGGGGAGGCACACAGGGACCGGGAAGAAGACAGGGAGGGAAAAGGTCTGAGCGTTTCCCTTCGTGCACTTGCAGAACGTTTGGAGGACACACAGAACAGGGCTCGGACGGGGCGGAGAAGGAGAACCGACAGCTGACACGGAAGACGAGCCGCCAAGTTTGGATCCGGGACAGCTCAGGGGCCCGGCCCAGGGATCAGCACGCCCCAGCCACGCCTGAACTCCAAAACCCGCCAAAAAGCCCAACACAGACGGCACCTGAAGCAGCAGGGCCCCCACCTGCTGCCTCCCAGGTGGGAGCAGGACTCGAACCCAGGCACCTTCCGTTCTGTGACGCGGACGGCCCGAGCAGCGACCTGACGGCTGCCCTGGCTTTCATTTTAGGATTAAACTAAAAACAGGGACTCGGCGTAACTTTAAATTACATATCATTTATTGAAATATAAAGATCTTCATTTACATGTCATAAAATGAAAACGGGCATGGGGCAGGGGGCATCTGTAATACATTTTGTTTCGGGAGACCCTCCCTCCCCAACCAGTTCGTCCTCACACACTCTCCACGACACTGTTTGGGGAACACCTTAAGTCTTCTTCTCTTCATTATGTCTAAAATATAAATTTTGGACATTCAAAAGTGCAACAGTTAATGTGCCTATAGGGAATATCACAGTTAAAAAAATATAAACAAAGGCAGTGAGACAGCTCGTCATACATGTTTTGGCAGTATTCTGCAGGCCTACGTAGATACACATATGTACACATCGATGTATAACATCATTGCATCACAAGTCCCTCTCAGACAAACAGGACCGCTCTGTGCACGCGGGCAGACCACGGCGCGGGCACAGCCGCACGCTGCGTCGCCCACGCCGGCTTTGATTGTCATCAGGAAAAAAAAAAATCAAAGAGTGGGAAGCAGTGGCCAATTGTCTTTTTCTGGGGATTTTGCAGGAAGCAAACGGGACACAGATTGGAGATACATGGGACACTTTTTTAAAAAAAGCAAAAACTAACAATGCGGCCCCAGGCTCAGCCTGGCCACGGATTTGCACCCAGTCTTGTGGTGACGTGCAAGCCTGGGGCTTCGATGACCAGAGTGGCCACAACAGTGACTGTCAAGGGGCAGGTGAGGGAGCGAGGACCCCCGAGCTGCGGTTCCAGCCACACAGAGGCACCCGAGGCCTCGCTGGCGCTACAGAACCCGGTCAGCTTGTTAGCTGGCCGATCCAGCTCAGAGCACACACTGGCCACGCAGAGGGTGGCTGAGAAAGCACCTCGGGGTGGCTCCCGCACCTGGCACGTGTCACGCCCTGGGTGTCAGCAATTAAGCAACACGGCCGAGAACGCCATGAACCCACCCTGGCCGGCGTGAGTCACGGTGCATCGTCCCGTCTAACCCCGGTATAGCAGTGAAATGGTTCACCTCTTGGAGCAAAATGCTGGCCTCGCTGTGCAGAGAGGCAGCAGTGTGAGTGGCATCACTTCTATAGGTGTTTGTCCACGGGCTGGGGGTGCGGGCGGGCAGGAGCCGGTCCGTCCCCTCCAGGCAGGGAGAAGCAGTGGCCTTACCTTGAAGAAGACCTGCCCACGCCCAGTGTCCTGACCCTGACCCTCAGCTGAGCCGGCTGGATTAAGTTGAGGGTAGCAATCTGGACGCACAGCCAGGCGCCGGGGACTTACACAGCAGGCTTCCGCATGGTGGCCCTCCAGCCCAGCTCCAAATTGCAAATCATTGCTTTTCCCACGGCAACCCCCAGGAACCCAAGCCAGCACTCCTGAAACGTGGCTCATCAGAACAGAACATGGGTGCCGGCTGCCCATCCACTCCCAACTCCAGATCCGGGCTGCCAGCTCCCTGGGGGCCAGAGAGCCGGGGCACACACACACGGCCGTCACTCACCACCACCCCCACTCCCAGCCTCGGGTTTCTAGCACTTTCTCTTTGAGGCCAGACAGGATCTCTGCTGCTCTTTCCCTCAGGGTGATGCCGGCCCGGGGGACTCTGACACCGGGGACCTGGGCTCGTCTCTCGTCCCGTTCAGTACCGCGGGCAGGGGGAGCTACTTGTACACAACCAAAGTCCATGACTTCCGGGACAACTGTGACCTTGTTCTCTGATGTCCGACCCACTGCGGTGATCAACATCATTTATGGGGAAACATAAGCTCTTTAAAAAAAGAAAGTGTCAAAAGTTGCAAACCTGTCACCTACTTAGGGTTCTTTTTTTTGTTTTTTAACTTGTGCTTTCTCGGGCAGGAGCCCGTGTTACGTGTTACACACTTAGCATCACTAATGACAGTAGTATGATTACAAACATAGGTTACGATACGAAAACGCGGCTTGGGGCTTCTAAACGACACACGTCTATTAAACGAGGCTGGTTAATGACTCTGCGCTACGCACGACTAAGATGCTCCAAGACCAGCACCTTTGAAGGTTCCGAAGTGGTTTTGTACAACACTGGGAGTCCAGAGCCAGTGGCAGCCAGGCTCCGACAGGGAAAGACACGGCTGGGCTGAGTGGTGTCTCAGAAGTCCAGAGGAGACGGGACGCATCTCTCACCAGGGCTGCGTTCAGATTTATGTACATAACAGCGACGCTGCAACTTCAGCGCGACTCCGGCTGTGCACGTGGACTTGAGACCCAGAGCTCGCTTCCCGGGGTCCACCGTGCCCTTGAACCCCCCACGCCGCCGAGGCTGGCGAATCCAGAGGCAGTGCCAGCAGCGTCCACCTCCAAGCGTCCCATTCCCCCTCCGAGGCTGGTCACACGGCTCCCCCCGCCCCGCCCCGGGGAATCCCGGGCCAGGGCCTCCTCGTCCCGCATCCCCCACGTCGTCCTCTCCACCTCTGCCTTGCAAATAAAGTGGTTTTCTGAAAAGGATCCCAGGGCAGCTCCGGGAACGCGCGGGGACCTGCGGCTCACAGGAAGCTGTCCTCCACCAGGTCCGAGGAGTCCATGCCAATGTCGTCCATCATGTCCATGTCCTCGATGGTCTCGTCCTCTCTCTTCATGAAGGTGGAGCTGCTGGAACCCGTCTCGATGGCACTCTCCTCCGAGGTCTGCGAGCTGGAGGTTAGAGACAGAGGGCACGAGGCTGAGCACCGGGCACATCGCAGCCGCACTGCAGGGGGCGCCCAGCACCGCCCCTCCCGCCACGCGGGGCAACCGGCGGCCACCGAGCCCATCTTCCCTACTCAATCCCAGCAGAAGAGAAACCAGCAATGCACGAACACAAGGCAGCAGGAATGACAAGCAGAGGGAGGCATTGGGGGCGGTGCAGCCGGGCCAGCCACCTGCTCTCGGGGACAGGGGCGCCTGTGTGCCGGGAGGCCCCCTGCCCCTGTGACCCCAGGGCTCCCAGTCCGGACCTCCCAGGGGAAGGCTCTCTGCCTCCTGGAGAGGGGGAGAGGGGGCCTTGCAGTGGACTCCCCCGGGTGGCACCCTCCGCCTGATGAACTTGAACGTACCTCCTTGCCTACACGAAGGGCATGCCAAGGACACTCACAGCACGCCTGCTCGGCTGATGAGCAAGGTACCAGCCGTGAACGCCGAGCACGGGCAGGGCACGCGGCAGTGGGTGCTGCCCCTCCTGTCTTCTCACCCACGGCTGAGCTGGGCCCACGCGCGCAGCACAGGGGGCTGGCACGGCGGGCGCGGGCAGGGGTGTTATTCACGGGCACGTGCGTGGGAGCCATGTCCTGGTGTCCCTTACTTAGTTCCAAGTGACTCAACCACTAGCAAAACGTGTGAGGACGCACGCAGGGGGCGTGCCTCATGAACACACCACGCGTGGGTTCCAACACTTCGGCACCAAAAACAGCTTATCTCCAATGCCATTTCTGGAGTCCCCTCTATGTGACTGACACGCAATAACCTATGCCACACAGAGCTGAATACCTGCCAACAACTGTGCAATCTAAGTGGGAGGGAGGCTCATGCACTATTTTTTTGGCTTCTTCCCTGAAGACCCAGCCTGCGACCTGTGACCTGTGACCTGTGACCCGAGACCTCTTGTCTTAGCGCCATCCTGCCTTGCGCTGCTGTCCACGTTAGGTCTTTTTTGCCCCTCCAGATTATCACCTGCCGGCGAGGAGGTCCCTGTCCAACGTGGGACCGGCAGCAGTGAGGACACAGGGTCCCCTCCCTTCCCCATCCCCTGCCAAGCAGAGAACTGAGTCCCACAGCTCACGTCCTGCTGGGGAACACGGCGGCCACCACCCACGACTCCTGCGGCCCTGACTCCTCCTGGGCCCCAGGAGGCTGCCGGGCTGCGGGTTCCTTAGGCCTCAGCTCTGCCTGCACTTACACCTGTCCTGAGCCTCCGAATCCCATCCACTTGCTGATCCCGACAACCGTCCAAGGGCGGCCCCTCGCCCGGGACCTGATGTGGATGTGGACCCAGCCCAGCCGTGGGCGCTGGGATGGGCACTGCCGAGCCGGGCCCTGGCCCTGCTCTTCCTCTGGAGGACACAGGGGTGTGGGCAGGGAGGACTGACCACCCCGAGACCCAGTACCAGACCATTCCCGTGGCTCGCCCAGCTGCCCACACCCAGTGGCCAGTGCCCCTGAGCCCACTCCCTCCCCAAGGTCAATGTCCTGAGCCTAGAAGGAGGTGACTTCGGGGCTGACTGCCCAGCTGAGCCCAAAGCTCCCCCCGGCTCTGGGATGCCCTCACCCAGGGCCAGCTCGTCTTGCGGTTCAGGGCTACAGTCCCACCTGACTTGGGGCCGTTATCTGGGGCACACTGCCTCAGAGCCCCCAAACACAAAGCCTCCAAGGGGAGAGAGCCCCCAGGCCTCCACCCAGCCTCCCCCTGGCGCCCCCGTTCCAACACAGACCCCCAGGTTTGTTTACTAAAGGAACATAAACACACAGTAAAACAGCATCCCCCAGTCGAGGATTCCCAAAATAGAAGAAGCCAAAGCTGTACTTTGCAAAATCACCGGGTGCACGCAGATCAACAAGGGCTGCCGGCAGCTGTGCCGAGGGCCCCGACCACGCCACGTGCTCCTGCATGCGGCTCACGGAACGAGCAGGCAGGAAGGAAAGAAAAGGACCCCGGGCCACGTGGACCTTAATTAAACAGGCCACGATCAGCGCCTGGGGCTTGGGCGCTGGGAACCAAGGTTCTCATGCCGTTGCGCGTCTTGGTAATGAACTAACGCATCCAGGCGGGAAGCTGGCTGGAAACGGAACTCCAGGCGAGTTTTGGGTGCAGGTTCGGTGCGCGCCTGAGACGCCGCCTGCGATGGCCACGTCCCGTATGGACGCCTGGGTTTCAGTTCCAGCTTCCTGCGACTGTGCGCCCCGGGAGGCTCAATGATTGGGTCCCTGCCACCCACAGGGGAGGCCCAGATAGAACTCCTGGTTCTTGGCTTCGGCCTGGCCCGGCCCCGGCCACTGGGACATCTGGGGAGTGAATGAGTGGACCAGAGCATATTTCCTCTCTCTCTTTCTCTGCGTCTGTGCCCTTCTGCCTTTCAAAGGAGGACTAAGAATTCAAGAATGCTTTGTTTATTTTTATTTATTTCTATTTTATTTGTTGTTTATTTGAAAGGCAGAATTGGAGAGAGAGAGAGAGAGTGAGCTCTTCCATCTGTTGGTTCACTCCCCAAATGGCCACAACGGCCAGGGCTGGGCCACCTCGAAGCCAGGAGCCAGGAGCTTCTTCTGGGTCTCCTGTGTGGGCACAGGGGCCCAAGGACTTGGCCATCTTCTACCGCTTTCCCAGGCCACAGCAGAGCTGGATGGGAAGCGGAGCAGCTGGGATTCGAACCGGCGCCCGTATGGGATGCCAGCACTGCAGGTGGCAGCTTTACCCGCTACACCACAGCGCCAGCCCCCATAATTTTTTTTAAGGAGATAAACAGAAAGCCTTGCCAGGTGATTCCAAGGCGTGGCAAGCACGGGGGTGCGTCAGAGGCCCCAGAGCCACCTCCCTCCATCCGTCTCCTCCATACGTCCCCTCAGCTCCAGGCCCATTTCAGACAGCGGCACAGGCTGCGCTCAGCACAGCAGCTACTGACCAGGTCCCCGAGGGCTCAGGTCAAAGGTCTGGACCCACTGGGGAAGTGCCCCCCCACACACATGCAGGTGCACACACACACTCATATGAATGTATTCACACTCTCATGGATGCACTCACACACACGCACACACATGCATACACACACTCAAGAATGCACTCGTGTGCACACGCATACACACATGTGCACGCATGCACACTCATGAGTGCACTCCACATGCACACACATGTGCACTCTCATGAATGCACTCCACATGCACACGTGTGTGCACTCTCATGAATGCGCACATGCACACACATGCACACGCATGCATGCACTCTCATGGATGCACTCACACACACACACACACGCAAGAATGCACTCGTGTGCACACGCATACACACATGCACACTCTCATTAGTGCACTCCACATGCACACACGTGTGCACTCTCATAGAATGCGCACATGCACACGCATGCACACGCATGCATGCACTCTCATGGATGCACTCACACTCTCAAGCACACACTCATGAATGCACACTCATGCACACACATATACTCTCATGAACGCACTCACACACACAAATGTACACGCATGCACTCACTCATCACACGGATGCACACACACATACTCTCAAGAATGCACTCACACATGCACACGCATGCACACTCATGCACACACTCACACACGCCCCCAACCCCAGCCCCAGCCCCAGCAGACGCCTCGGAGTCCCCTGGGGCGCATCTTCAAAGCCATGCAGCCCCCCGGCGTTCGGCAGGCTGACGGCTCCTGCAGACCCCCCTCCCCCCGCACAGCCCCCGGGGCCTGGCAGTGCTGGGGGCGGTGGGCGGCGCGAGGGGCGCCGGCAGCGCTGGGGGCGGCCTACCTGTGCCGGTTGCGCTTGCCCCCGTCCTCCTCGTCCTCCTCGGGCACGGGGTCGATGTCGGGCAGGGGGATGATGTAGCCGCTGTCGGCACTCAGCCTCTGCTCGTCCAGGCCGCCCTCCCAGTCCTTCAGCTTGTCCTCCTCGTTCTTGTAGGTGACGCCCAGGTACGCGCTGTCGGTGTCCACACGCATGCGCGCCACGGCGGGGTGGTCGCTCCTCAGGAAGTCCAGGTGGATCTTCTCATAGCTCTGCAAGCACGCGCGGACCCAGGTGAGCACGCGCCGGAGCCAACAGCACACCGACTGGACCCTCAGAACGCAGGCGAGGTCACTGCCCCTTGCAAACCAGCTCCTGGCTGCGAGCGTCACACGACGGAAGGGCATGGGCCAGCCATCCCCAGAGAGGGGGCCCACCAACAGGGATGCCAGGGGCCCAGGGGGTTAAGCCACAGCCTGTGATTCCAGCATCCCACATGGATGCCAGTTTGAGTCCCTGCTGCTCCACTTCCGATCCGGCTCCTTGCCAATGCGTCTGGGAAAGATGGCCCAAATGGTTAGGCCCCTGCACCCACGTGGCACATGTGCCCGAACCTCTGGCTCCCGGCTTCAGCTCAGCCCAGCCATGGCCACTGCTGCCATCTGGGGAGTGAACCAGCAGATGAAGATCTCTCTCTCTCTCCCCTCCTCTCCCTCTCTCTAACTCTGCCTTTCAAATAAATTACTCTTAAAAATATATATATGGGCCGGCGCCGCGGCTCACTAGGCTAATCCTCCGCCTTACGGCGCCAGCACACCGGGTTCTAGTCCTGGTCGGGGTGCCGGATTCTGTCCCGGTTGCTCCTCTTCCAGGCTAGCTCTCTGCTGTGGCCCAGGAGTGCAGTGGAGGATGGCCCAAGTGCTTGGGCCCTGCACCCCAGGGGAGACCAGGAGAAACACCTGGCTCCTGGCTTCGGATCAACGCGGTGCGCCAGCTATAGCACACCAGCCGCAGCGGCCATTGGAGGGTGAACCAAAGGCAAAGGAAGACCTTTCTCTCTGTCTCTCTCTCTCTCCCACTGTCCACTCTTTGTGTCAAAAAATAAATATATATATATACTAGGAGCCCCTCCTCTGAGTCAGCAGCCAAGGCCATGTACCCTGCCCGGCCCCTCCAGCCCCATCGGGGAAGGAAAGAAAAGGACCCCGGGCCACATGGACCTTAATTAAACAGGCCACGATCAGTGCCTAGGGCTTGGGTGCTCCCTCGCCCAAGAGGGAGCGGCCATGCCTGCACTGGGAACACTGTGCCCCGAGCCCTGCTGTCCACACACTGGGAAGTCAGAACGACCCTGTCTCCCCCTGCAGCTTCCAGCTCTTCCTCCCGCCCTCACCACCCCACTTCTGCGCCTCTGCAAAGGGCAGGGAGTTGTCGACGCAGGAGAACTTCAAGTTCAAGTTCAACCTGCCGGTGCTTCCAGCACATCCCCCCGAGGACGAGAAAGAAGCAACCGCGATGGGAAACCTATCAGCCACAGTTCTGAAGGCGGGAAACCGGCCGCTGGGTTTCAGGAAGGTGCCTCGCTCATTTACATATCCTGCTAGGTGCCCCGAAATCTCGCTCGCTCCTCAAACAATGTTTCCTGTTCCACAAAGCACCAGCTGGAGCCGCAGATAACAGCTGAGGCCGCCCCTCTGAGTCGGCTGCTCAAAGCCAGTTTTCCATGGATTTGGGCGCGTTCAACTTCGCGAGTTAATGGCCGCGGACGCCCGGGGACTTCCACGTGCACATGCAAACATCTGGAGAAGCCGGGGCTTATGGGGGCTGCTCGCTGCGGGAAGGGGCTTCCCATTCATCACTGCCACCAGGGACCCCAGCGCACGCCGGAAGCCCCAGCCCCGGGGCACGTGAGGTCTCTCTCCTCCCCCACCGCGGCGCTGAGCACCTGCCCACCCCCCGTCCTCAAGGGCCCAGACCTTTTTATACTGTCCGGGCAGCAGACTCTCCACGATCTCGCTCAGGTGGTAAAAGGAGGGCCGCTTCTCGGGCTCGCTGTTCCAGCACTTCACCATGATCTCGTAGCTGGAGAGGCAGAGGGCGGCCGCCTCGTGAGCTCGGGGAGGAGCACCCGGGCGCCCCGCCCCCCGGCCCCCCCGCCATGGGGAGGGGCTCACACTTCACTGGTGGCGTGGTCAGGCTTGGCCATCCGGTAGCCGCTTTTGATCTTGTTGTAGAAGGTGGAGTCCACCATCATGCCAGGGTAGGGTGTGCCCCCTGAAGTCGAGAGGGAGCAGGCAGGACTCAGCACTGAGCTGAGACATGGGGGACACGGGGAACCCTGGGGACAGGGAGCCGCGAGCCCTAACATCTGGAAGTGCGTGTTCCTCCCAGGCAGTGAGCGGTTACGGTCCAGTCCAAGCCCGCAGGCACACGTCCCCCATCTCCAGAAAAGCACTAGGGTCTGTCCACGTGCTGGCTGCTGAGGCCATGGGCAGGGACGGACTGAGCCAAGGGACAGCAAAGCCACGTGCCCCAGACACGGACCAGTGGCTAAGGCCAGAGTCGGGGCTTGGAAGGCCTTGGCTCATTCCCTGCTTTCGCTAAGGGGGTGTGAGACCCTGCTAAGCCACGCCCAGGGGAGATGGTGGTGACCGGCAGAGAGAGATGGAAGGAGGAGGCCCACGAGGGATGACACACGTCCCAGGCACCCAGGGCAGCAGGGAAGCTGGTGGGCGGCTTCGTGTTTGCAGCCCAGGGCAGGTCAAGGTCAGTTCCCTCTCAGGCCTCCCCAGGACTCCCTTCTCTGGACTGAAGACAATGATGAAGCAGCCCTGATGACTGACCACTAAGTGTCGGGAACCCCTGGGGCCGGGTTCAGTCATCTCAGGTCCCCCGGGGCCCGGTTCCTGGTGACGGACCCACCAGATGCCCAGGAGGCCTCTCTCCTCCGGGACGAAGACCAGGAAGGGAGCCGCACCTGTTCCCCCAACACACGCCAGCCCTCGCCTGAGCCCCAGCGCCAGCCGGTGAGCAAGGGGCAACTCCCCCAGGGAGCTCACGTGACCCAAAGTCACAATGACATTTGTGTGATGAACAGGCAAGGCTGCCCTGTGTGGACTTGTCCCCTGTTTCCAGATCTCCCTGGGGGGTGGCATCAGGACAGAGAGGGGAGCAGAGGCAGAGGCTGGGCGGAGGAGGGGATGGTGCAGCCCCAGGACCCCGACTCAGCCTGCAGAGGCCTGACCCGCACCAGGGAAATCACACGGCCCCCAGCCCGGAGCTGGGAAAGCACCCGGCTCCCGTCGGACCCAGGGCAGCCGGAGCCAGCAGGGCGGGGCCCGTACCGAGAGAGAAGATCTCCCAGAGCAGGATGCCGTAGGACCACACGTCGCTCAGCGTGGTGTAGAGGTTGTCGAAGATGCTCTCGGGGGCCATCCACTTCACGGGCAGGAAGGTCTGCAGGGGACAGGGGGCACAGTCACCCCGGGCCCGTGCACCACGGGCAACGGCAGCAGGCTCAGACAGCCGGCACAGGCCACCTGCCCCCGCCTGGGCACGCTCACGGCTGCACCGGCCACCTGGACACCAGGAGCTCTCAGTAGCAGAGGGTCACAGTTCCCTTCTGAAACTCTGATAAAAGCTTAGACATCTTAGACGTCGGGACACCATCCCGGCAAACGCGTGCCTTTCCACGCATGCACCTGTTCCACGTGCTACCGGCTGACACAGGGTGTGGCCAGACACCAGGCACCACCCCAAGGACTTCAGCGACTACTGGCTCAGCCCCCACAGCACCAAGACCAGGTACAGCGCATCTGCCCCCCACTCCAGATGGGGAGACTGAGGCACGGGAACCCGGCCGCCCAGGCAGCCCCTGCAGACCCCGTGTTAGGTGCCCGGCACGTACGCTGCCTTTGGAGACGTAGTTGGAGTCGTGCATGATGTCTCTGGCCAGGCCGAAGTCACAGATCTTGACAATCTTCCCTTGCGCCAGGAGCACGTTGCGCGCGGCCAGGTCCCGGTGGACGCACTGTGTGCAAAGGGGGCGGCGCGATGTTAGGGGCCTGCACCTGCGGCCTCACCCTGGCGGGATAAGCCTCTCCCAGGGGGCCCGGGAGCATCCGGGTCCGCACCCAGGAAGTCCGCCCTGGAGGAAAGAGCTCTGTGGGCGCCACCCCCTGCTGCCCAGGGGAGCACGGAGGCCGAGGAGCTGGGCCCAGACCTCTCTCTCTCTCTGCGCCTCCTCCCATGCTCCCCTCACCCTGCCCCCTACAGCCAGGTCTACAGGAGTCTCTGCTCCCTGAACTCACATTTTTTGAAGCCAAAAATTCCATCCCTCGAGCGACTTGGTAGGTAAAGCTCAACAGATCCAACAAGGTGAGGCCTTCCGCGTTGTCATCCGAAAGGAGGTTTTTGACTTCGGACTCTGCAGGGGAGGAATGCAACGTCAGGGCAGCTGCACGGCCTGACCCGCCGCCCCGTGAGCCCCACCGCCCCCCCACAGCACGGATCCACAGCACTGCCTTCCACGGACTCCACCCCCACGGCGGCGAGCTCAGCTGTGCGGATTCCAGCTCCAGAAAGAACAGAGCCTGGGGCGGGGTGAGCGCGCTAGGCGGCTGCTGGGGACTCGCGCACCCGACTGAAGCTCCAGTTTGAGTCCCAGCGACTCCACCTCCGAGCCAGCTTCCTGCTAACAGGCCTGGAAACAGAATCTGCCACCCACGTGGGAGACCTGGATGGAGTTGCAGGAAGATGGAAGATTGCTCTCTCTCCCTCTCTCTGTCACTCTGCCTCTCAAATAAACGAATACACACACACACCCCCCTTACCTAAAAACCTGAAATCTGAAATGACTCAAATTCTGAAATTTTGGAGTGCCAGCCTGAAGCCGCCAGTGGAAGATTCCACCCTGACCTCACGCGAGTGCCGTGGACACAGGTGCACTGAGTGAGCACTGGGGGCAGTGGGCAGGACGCCTGTGGGATGCCTCAGCCCACGTCAGAGGGCCTGGGTTTGAAGCCCAGCTCTGCCTCTGATCTCAGCTTCCTGTGAATGTGCTGGGCACCCTCGGAGGCACCGGGGACGGCTCACTCCTCAGGTCCCTGCCGTCCACGCGGGAGGCCCGGACTACGCCCCGGCTGTTTCAGGCATGTGGGGAATGAACCAGCGGATGGAAGCCCTAGCTGCCTTCCAAACAAGTAAATAATTTTTTATAAAATTACCCACAGGCTGTGTGTATAGGCTATATGAAACATAAGTGAATTTCATGTTTAGATTGTCCCATCCCATAATATTCATTATGTTAGATGCAAATGTTCTAAAATCTGAAACTGTTTTTTTTTTTTTTTTTTAATGTTTAAGAAGGTAAGGTCTTTCCTTTAAAAAATTTATTTGTTAGGCCGGCGCCGCGGCTCACTAGGCTAATCCTCTGCCTTGCGGCGCCGGCACGCCGGGTTCTAGTCCCGGTCAGGGCACCGGATTCTGTCCCGGTTGCCCCTCTTCCAGGCCAGCTCTCTGCTGTGGCCCGGGAAGGCAGTGGAGGATGGCCCAAGTGCTTGGGCCCTGCACCCCATGGGAGACCAGGATAAGTACCTGGCTCCTGCCATCGGATCAGCGCGGTGCCGGCGCAGCGCACCGGCCGCGGCGGCCATTGGAGGGTGAACCAACGGCAAAAGAAGACCTTTCTCTCTATCTCTCTCTCTCACTGTCCACTCTGCCTGCCAAAAAAAATATTTTTTTTATTTGTTAATTTGAAAGAGTTACAGAGAGAAGGAGAGTGAGAGAGAGAGAAAGAGAGAGAAATTCCATCCACTGGTTCACTCCCCCTGACGGCTGTAACAGCCAGGGCTGAGTCAGGCCGCAGGCAGGAGCCGGGAGGTTCCTTCAGGTCTCCCAGATGGGTGGCAGGCGTCCACACACTCAGGCCATCTTCCACCAGGCTATTAGCAGGAAGCTGGATCGGAAGTGGAGCAGCTAGGACTCAAACCAGTGCCCGTATGAGATGCCAGCGTAGCACCATAGCTTTCCCTGCTACACCACAGTGCCTGTCCCAAGGTCTTTTTTTCTTTAAGTTTTATTTATTTACTTGTTTGAAAGGCAGAGAGGCAGAAAGAGATCCTCCGTCTGCTGGTTCACTCCCCGGCAACAGCCAGGAGCCAGGAGCCAGGAGCTCCATGTGGCTCTCCCATGGGGATGGCAGGGACCCAAGCACCTGGGCCACCACCCTCTGCCTTCCCAGGTTGCACTAGCAGGAAGCTGGATCGGAGGTGGAGCAGCTTTGGGACTGGGACTGGGACTGGCGCTCCGACAGGCAATGCAGGTGCCCCAGGCAGCAGTGCAACCCACTACTCAGCAAAGACCACCCCTGCAACACTTCCTGTCCCCTGCATTTTGCATAAGGGACATTGACCCCACTTACTGGCTTACACACACACACACACACACACACACACACACACACGAGGGTGCTGAGAAAGAGTGACCAGGAATGGCTCCGTTTGCTTTTCAAATCCCCCTTGGACATTTCTTAAGAAAAGCGGCCCCGATCCGGAGCGGACCCACCGCCCTGCCCCGAGTCCCGAGCCCCTCTCCTCCTTGTGCCCTTGTCCCCCATCTGGAGTGTCAGGGCTGTCGAGGAAGAAGGCAGGGAGGCCGCGCGGCGCTCCGCTCCCGATGAGCACTTCCAGGCAGGCGCGGTCTCTCCGCGCTGCAGCCAGCAGGCGGGGAGCTGCCTGCCAGCGGTTCCCCTGGCGTCCGGTGCCAAGTCCACCGGCAATGTCAACTATTTTTAACAACATGGGAGGGGAGAGGAAGCACTTGTCTGATAACTCGCACCGGCTCATCTTTCCAAAGCGCTTGGAAGTTCACCCATTTGGCAATGAGAAGTGAATGGAACCTGGAACGGCCGGAGTGGAAATGGCACTGTGTAGCGAGCTGTGCAAAGCAAGCACATTCTTTTTTTTTTTTTTTTTTTTAATGGATTGTAGCTCTCACTTAGGAACCTTGAAAGCATTCAGAACCATCAGTGATTTTCCAAACAACTTCCGTGGCCGCTCAACCTGTCTGTGCGTCCCCCAATGGGCGGGTGTTCAGACAAGGCGGGGAAGGAGGCTGTGGGAGGAGCCAGCGTCAGATCTGTCCCGATAACCTTGGACTCCAGGTCTGTGCCGGCCTGGAGGCCTGGGGGCGCCTTCCCCAGGTGCATGCAAGGGGGCCCAGCTGGTGTGGCCAGCACCAGGATGGCTCCAGGTGTGTGCAAACCGATTCAAGCCTGCCACACACTCCTCGGCTGGGAAAGACACGGGTTCCCCCGGCTCCAAACGGTGCTCGGCAGAAGCACCTGCCACCAAAGGCGGCCTCCCGTTGTGTGTTCCGCAGACTCGCCCATTTCGGAGACTTAGAAAACGTGAGGAGCTAACCAGTCTAGGAGCCACCCCAAGACGGCCGACTTTTAATTTTGCCAAGTAGGGGCATCAATAACTATCACTTTGCTTTCATTAGAGGGCAGAAAACGTTAACAGCCAAACCAAGGTCATTCCAGCAGAAATAGCCAGACTTCAAAATGATTGTGTGAACAGACCGCACAGCCCCCTGCACGGAGCCTTGTTCATTCTTCCCCAGAAAACACGCCGGACGCCAGGCGAGGGGGACCTGTGTTAGGGACCCCCTTCCCACCCTCTCCCTCCTGTGGGGTTCCCAGGGGCACCGCTGTCCTCAGCGCGGGCACGGACGCGTTTACCTAGCGCGGACTTCTTCTTGTAGGAAGCCGGGCGATCGTACAGCGAGCGCTGGATGTCCGAGTACTTGGACACCTCTTTCCGCTCCAGCATGGGGACGTACTGCGTGCCGTCGGCCTGCTTCATGTCCATGTAGTCACCATTGTTCTCGAAAGACAGAATCACGTAGCTGCCAAGGCAGAGAACACAGCTCAGCCAGGGTGTCCCACGGGGGTGGTCACCCAGCACTCGGTGGGTGAGGCTCAGGTGGGTGCTACAGCCTGCGTGTAGGGCCCTGGCTGGCGGCGGGGGGGGGCTCCAAGTGAGGTTGGGGGGACAGCAAAGCCAACCGCACCCTTCACTCGCACGGCCTCGGCGGGGAGATGGCTATGGAATAACCACGAATAATACGTGATCCTTGCCCACGGGCTGGGGAGGCCTGATCGTGCAGAAGGAACACGAGCCTGGCACATGCCAAGAGCTCCCGCCGGTGGCTGCCGTGACCTGCCGATGCCAGGTTGTGTCTAGGAGCCACACCGACCTGTCTGCACAGCTTAGGAGCCCAGACGCCCTGAAGTGCCCCATCTAAGACGGGACTTGCAAAACCTTACAAATCCACGACACTGGAGAGTTTGACGTGCAGGATTCCTTACTCCTTCTCTGGTTTTCGGGGCACAGATCCCGAATCTGGGCCCTGTGGCTTGGGCAGGGAACTCCTGCAACTCACTGGGTGTCCACCGGGGGACTCCAGCTGAGCTTCTAGAACCTTCCACCTACAGAGAGCCTACAACCCCCTGCAGGTTCCTGAGACGACCCTTGGCTTGACTGGCAGGCCCGGGTTCAGCAAGGAGCAGTGTGTGAAGCTTAGTGATCTCCAGGCAGGAGACCTCGGCACCTCGGCCGGAGCTGCAGGCTCACAGACAAGCAGCAAAGGTGCTCCCGGAGGGGCCGCGACTCTCGCTCTCATCCCAGCCCGTCGGCGAGGCCTCCCACACGCTGTCCTGCTCCCAGTCCCTGCAGAAGTCACGTGTCCATCAGCACTGCCCTGGGACTTGCTCTTGGACAGGGTCATTTCGTTCTGCCCTGAATCTGCAGCCATGGGAGCCAGGGGGGCGTGGGTATCCTCCACGTGCAATGCTCACTGGACAATGACACATGGCAACCCCTCCCTCCATCCCTCCCTCTCTCTCTCTCTCTCTCTCTGCACCCACCTCCGTGTGCTTTCATCTGCAGGGTTCAACCCAAAGATGTCCAGCTCCTTCTTGGGCTTCTCCGGGTGGCGGCTCAGGAAGCTGTCCCTGTTCTTATGCAGATAGTTGACCAAATCCCCATAGAAGCAGTACTCGGTGATGATGTAAATGGGGCCTGCGGGGACCAGAGCGGGAGAGGACACGGCCGTGAAAACAAGGCACAGCAAAGCCTCGGGACGCCCTGCCAGACAGGCTGCCCGGACGCAGGGCCCAGGGGCTCCCATTCGCCGGCACGGCCAGGGTGGACGGCATAGGACTTAAGCCCGGCTCCAGTTTCCTCAGGACCGCCAGGATCGGGTGAAAACCCTCGCTCCCGGCCCCGTGCGCCCACCTGACTTGGTACAGGCTCCCAGCAAGTTGACAATGTTGAGATGCGGCCCCAGGTGGGTCATGATCTTCAGCTCGGACATGAGAGCCTGCTTCTCGCTGGACCTGGCCGTGGCTGCGGATGACATCCAGCCCGTGTCAGTGCGCCTGACCCGCCCGCTCAAGTGCTCAGCAGAAGCCGAGAACGTGGCCAGCCCTGTGGCCGACCACCACTGCGCTGCCCCACAGGCTGCAGCAGACAGCCCGCCCCCCCCTGGCTTTCAGAGGGCCCAGGGCAGGGGCTCAGGAGTCCAAGCTGCTGCCTGTGGCCCCGGCATCCCATATTGGAGCGCCAGTTCCAATGCCGGCAGCTCCGCTTCCGGTTCAGCTCTCTGCTGATGGCCTGGGAAGGCAGTGGCAGATGGCCCAAGTGCTTGGGCCCCTGCCACCCACATGGGAGACCCGGAAGGAGCTCCTGGCTCCTGGCTGGAGCAGGCTCAGCAGTTACAGCCATTTGGTAAGTGAGCCAGCAGATGGAAGATCTCTCCTCTCTCTCTCTCTCTCCTGTCACTTTGCCTTTCAAATAAATAAATTTTTATGTATTAAAAAAACACACTAGAAATATCAACTCCTGAATTGTTCACCCCAGGGCTGGTGAGAAATCTAAATAAAGCTAACTGATGAAACAGACTAGGCACACATACAGCCTCTGGTCCTGAACGCGTGACTCCCCAGCCGCGTGCTCTGGCCCAACGTGCGTCTTATCCCCGAGTTCCCAGAGTCCTCGGGACGGCAGCACTCACGTTTCAGCATCTTTACCGCCACCTTCATGACCGGCTGGGACCGGCTCAGTCCGTAGGCTGTCCCTTCCACCACTTTCCCAAAGGCCCCGGATCCCAAGATGCGACCTGCAGACAAGCAGAACCGTGACCCCGGTGCACGGCGGCGGCTCCCGGCTTTGCGTGCCGTGGCCAATGCACCAGGGTGTGTGCAGATGGGCATGTGGGGCTGGGTGGGGAGTGGGTGCTCCTGCCCAGCCTGAGACTGGCATCTGGTGCCGCAGGTTGACCACACCCCTTCATCCGGGCGCCTGGCTCGGTTTCTGGTCCAGCCTCCCACCAATGCGCACCCTGGGCTGGAGCAGATGACGGCTCAAGTGCCTGAGCACCTGCCACCCACGTGGGAGACCCTGACTTGAGTTCTGGGCTCCTGGCTTCAGCCTGGAACAGCCCTGTTGTGGGCATTTGGGGTTGAACCAGTGAATAGAAGACTCTCTCTCTCTCTCTCTGCCTTTCAAATAAATAAATAAGAACGTTTTTTAACCTTGCGTTGGTAGATTATTCATTGAGACACAACCCCTGGCTCTGACTCCCACTTGCCTGCATCTTGCTTTCATGCATTCCGAACTTGACTGGAAAACAAACCAAACTGCCCTGGACGGCAGCCTCCTGTGCTTGGTCCCAGGCAAGACGAATGACACGAGCTGCCTGGCTGACTTTTACATGTTTTGCCTAAAACGCGCTTGTACTGTGACAGCCCACAGTGCAGATGCACCTGCCAGGACATCGAACACCTCCTTGGGCCACGCTATGGCTGTCTGTCCTCGGCCAGGTCCCTCCCGTTCTGCCTCACCCACAAATTCACTTCACTCTCCACCTGTGTCGCTTCTAAAGCAAAGCCATTTCAGTGGGTGGCTCTGCATGGCTTCCCAGGGTCTCCACTCGCTTGGCCACAAGTTCGTTAATCAGAACTCGTTAGGGAATAAGAGAGAAAGCCTGGCAGTGACTTAGTAAACGTATCAGCCAGAAATGTCGTTCTGAAAGCAAAGCTCTATCACGTAGCTCTGGCGAAGCACGGACCCCTTCCTCTGCCACTGGCCAGTAGGGAGCAAAGCTGTCCCCCCGGGAGCTCACCCAGCACGAGGCCATCTCGCGGAAACTCCCATCGCGAGTCGTACGGCAGCTGCATGGGGTCCACGTAAATGTATTCATGGCCGTCGGGGCTGATGGACTCGATGACCCGCCAGCGAATCTCGTACCTGGGTTTCTACGAGCAAGCAGGACAGGCACCAGCTGAGGCACCAGTGTCCCGGGGCACCACAGGTTCCCCCAGGCAGCAAGGCGACCGGCGCCACCTACAGGGGACTTCAGGACGTTCATGGAAAACGGAACATTTACTGGGGTGCAGGAACGCTAGACCCACACCCGGCGTCTCCCTAACTCGGCTGTGCCGTGAGCTTCCCAAGGACCTCGTGTGACAGCTGAGCAAGCACCCACCTGCTTCCAGACGACAACCAGGATGATGAGCGAGACAATCACAACCACCAGCAGCACCAGTACCGCGGCCGCCACCGTGAGTTCCGAGCGCAGGGCTAGAGGGGCAGAGACAGACAGACAGACAGACAGAGGGAGTCTGGTGAAGAGCTTCCCAGGGCAGCAGGGTGGCACAGTCATGGGGGCACACGAGGGACCCGGCCCATTCCAGGGGGTGATCACAGCTGTCCTCCAACCCCCTCCCCCACCCGGCACCCAGGAAACCACGCCAGCTCTTCCACGGGGAGAGGATGGGACGCATGTCAATCTTGGGAGCGCGACGCTCCGCAAAGTCGCCCCAGCCAGGCCGCTGGGCAGCACCTGACCCACGGCGAAGGAGGCGGAGCTAGCGTTAAGGGCAGCCCCCCCGCCTGTCCAGCTTTGTTAACCAGCACACACCCAGGGGCCTCTGCACGGCGAAGCTCCGAGGTGAAACCCACAGACAGCCCGGGGCCTCCACAGCTGCCCGCCCTGGCGTCCTCAGTCCTCCGGCCCCTTCTGGGAGGCCGAGCTCCCCCGAGGGACCCGGGGCCCAGCGGACGACTCGGAGTCGGCCTCACTCTGGAGTCACTCACTGGGAGCCACCAGCTTCAGCTCGCGGTTCTCCGTGCCCAGAGGATTCCTGGCCAGGCAGCGGACGGCAAGGGTCTCCTCCACCTTGGCGAAGGTCACCCGGCCCTCCACGGCGCCCCCGCCCCGGGGGTGGGTCTCCGTGACGATGTTGGACACGTTGTTGGCCAAAAGCGTCCACGAGGTTTCATTGTTACACCTGGAGAGGCAAAGGACACACAGGTCGGACCAGTTGCTGGGGCCCATGGAGACAAGGGCACCAGGGGGCAGCAGCTCAGGCCCCGCCCACATCTGGGCATGCTACAGGTGCAGATCAGGCCCCGCCCACATCTGAGCATGCTACAGGTGCATATCAGGCCCCACCCATGTCTGAGCAGGCTCAATAAAATATCACTATGGGTCCCTAACCTTGAACCTCTGAGCAAACTCAAGAGTTCAGTAAGGCACGTTTGCTGATCCCAATCTCCAAACAGGAGGTAGAAACGTGGGCCTCACTCGTGACAATCCTCCTAGGACAGCCATTCTTAAAACTCAGCTTATTTCCTCAGGCTAGAGACCCCTGGGAGCTGCTGCAAGCCGTGGGCCAGCTCCTCACAGCTGTGCGTGGGCCCACACACACCCAGATTAACGAGCACCGTGCATTTGGTCACCGGGAGTCACCAGCACAGACAAAGGGTGGTGACAAGAAAGGGAAGGCCCTGGAGGTCTCCGTCCCCAGGCAGCGGCGGCCTGGATACCTCTTGATATCCTTGCAGATCATCCATTCGACATCCGGAAGAGGCGTGCCCGCAGCCGTGCACCTCACCGTCTGTCCCCCGGTGGGGGCGTGGTGGTCATCCACCAAGTCCAGGATGGATGCGGGCACTGCAAGAGGGGGGGAGGAGTCAGGATTGGACCTGTGAGGCCTGCAAAGTGAGCGGGGGTCGGGACTTGGGCACACAGCTCCTGGATGCCCCGTGAGGGGCTGAGGCAGCGGTGCGCACGGCACTGGGGCTCCGACTGTGCCACTGGGCTAAGCCCGCGCTCACAGCTCCAGCGTCTCGGGATCTGCACCTGCGATGCGCTAAGTCCAGGGTGAGCAGAGTGCCTATGGTACCTGGTTTGCTCAGCAGGGATGCAGAGTTGGGGATTCTGCCAATGCATTCGGCTCAATCAGCATTTGCCCAGGTGCGTCTGTCGAGTCTTAGTAGGCGGGGAAGATGCTAAGTGGCAGACGGGCTGGTGCTTGCACCACAGGCTTGCTGTGAGGACCGGCACGTGGGGGGGGG